GCAAAGTCCAATAAAATTACATATAAACAAATCAGACACAGTTTCATTGAATAGCATCATGATTTGAAATACTTAAGCATGAAGGGATTTCTCATGGCTTGACCCCCAGATATTTGTTGCAGTTTTATTCCTAAGTTCAAAATTTAAGGTACTCACTCTCTGCCCTTTGAAAAAAATTGGGGCTGTTGACTTCTAGTTTTTCTCTCGTGGTTAAAGCTCATTTCAAATAATTTAGTGAGTCTAGAACTTCCTTTCTACGTGTAGTGGTATCTTGCCTGCCTCGTATTTTTCCTGATTAACTTTCTCAGGATTCTCAATAAAGAGGCAAAAGAGAAAAGACTCCAGGCACTGATCTTTTCTGCTGGTGCAGATGGGTGACTTTGTGCATCAACTCAGGTGTTCTGGACTTTCTTGGTATGTTGTTGTTTCATATTGACAAGAACTTTAGGTCTTGAAAGACTTCTATAAGTCTGCAATAAACTTTGGTTTAGGGATAGAGTAAATGAACAAGTGGGTCTCCCTGATGGCCCAGTGGTAAAGAACCCACCTGCCAATGCAAGAGTCATGGGTTTGATCCCTGGCTTGGGAAGATCCCCTGGAGATGGAAATGGCAACCCACTCCAGTATTTTTGCCTGGGAAATCCCATGGACAGAGGGGCCTGGTGGGCTACAGTCCATGGGGTCGCAAAGGGTCGGACATGACTTAGCGACTAAAACAACAAAATAACAAGTGGCATCTGAAGTTCCTACACCCAACGTAACCTTTGAGATGAGATCTGATATTTGACTGGTCCCCCAAGATGGAGTCATGTGTTGATTAAAAAAAAGCATTAAGGATGCGTTAGGACTGCCCATCACTCAGAGGGCAACTATCCATATTCCAGGCTCTGAGCTCTTTCCTTTTGTAAAACCATGTAGACTATTAGCTATTTGAAGTGAGTGTGTAATCGTTCAGAACGTGTGGATTTCATGCATCTGAGCTCCTGTCCAGTTGCTGCCAGTTTTTCTTCTGCTGCCAACCTGTGACTCATGAACAACTAGGATCTCTTGTTCTTTCATTCCAGGGGCTGTTCTAGGACTCCAATCAGTAACTTGGTTATTACAAGGTGCTGAATATGTTGGTAACCATATTGCAATACTCCTCAAGGAAAGGGTTCAGATTTTTATTTTGAAAATATTTTCATTTCCTTCTCTTTTGAATTTTATATCCATGTATCCACTCAGATACTCCTAGCCTACAGAAGGGGATATTACGAAATGGGCATTTTTCTGAAGAGAATATTTTGCTTGAAAGGCAAAGGACTGAAAGAGATTTGTAGGTTGTTGATTTTGTTACTTCATATTGGAACTTTTAAGAAGTTTTCATCAATAAAGTTTTGTTTTCTACTTTTAATCATGTGAATGTTTTGAACTTTTAAGGATGGAATGGCCTTATAATTTGAAGTATATGACAGAAGTACATGACAGAATTTGTCAATTCTGCCTGAGTAGCATAAGAAACATCTTCTGACTTTTATAATCAGTGAGACTATAGGCATATGTCTGTAGTTTTAGATTTTTGTAAGACTTTATAACAGGAAATAGAAAATGTAATTCTTTAGCTTGAACCAAATGAAACTGTAATTTCTGGAGGTCAAATCTGGTTGATTTCATATAGCTCAGCCAAATACTTCAGAGAAGAGGTTGGTAAAGAATGGAGATGAATGCAACATAAAACAGAGAACACAGTGACATCTAGGAAAGGAGGATGAGTTTATACATATTGCCTATTGGCCACAATCAACACTTAATATACATGGTCAATTGATAACTTGGTTTACAAGTTTGGCAGTTACGAGGAGCACACTGAGGTTTACAGGCACTGCTCTTCCAGAATCTGTAAGCAAGTGACTGCATGTTGCTCTTTGAAGATTGGTAACATTCCTGTCATAATTTCTTGGTCAGTTTTTCTTAGGGGTCTCCAGAAAAGCAATGAAAGTTCATATTACTGGCTCATTACTAACTAGCTGTTATCATCTTGGGCAAGTTACGATTGTTTTTCTTGTGCATAATTCCTCATTGAATAAAATGGGGATAATAGTACTTATCTTACAAACTGTTTTGAAGAATAAGTTAATACATGTAAAGTGTTTTGAACAGTGCTTTCTAGATAGGAATTGCCATTTAAGTGCTTGTTATTTTTATTACTAGCCTATATAATGTGTATTCTGTCAGAATCTTGATAGAGAGCCCTTTGCTGCTGTTGTTGCTCAGTCACTTCAGTTGTGTCTGACTCTTCGTGACCCCAGGGACTGCAGCCCACCAGGCTCCTCTGTCCATGGGATTCTCCAGGAAAGAATACTGGAGTGGGTTGCCACGCCCTCCTCCAGGGGATCTTCCCGATCTGGGGATTGAACCTGCATCTCTTATGTCTTCTGCATTGACATGCCTGCATTGGCAGGCAGGTTATTTACCACTAACGCTGCCTGGGAAGCCCTTTAAATAGCATCCAAAGGAACCAAATCCTTATTAATCAAATGAACACTCCTCAGTTGATGTTCCTTCCAAAATATATTTTGTATCCAAGAAATGTTGCTCTGGTTTTACAAGCACTTACAGTACTCAAATGCTCACACTGACTACTTGTTTTTACCTAGCTCTCAGGTAACTTCACTTAGAGCAAATCCTGAAAGTGTTCTTTCTCCTGCTACAATGCCCCATCACTAGGACCAGCTGGTGCAGCAGCTATAATACCCCCCAACTTGCCTTCCCCAGACACCAGAGGGGTTCAGGCGAGGTGCTCTATGATTCAATCACATTCTGTATTTCAGTTTTACTCATGGTGCTCTCCCCCTCCGTCATTCACTCAACAAACTAACGGGAGTGCTGTTACCTACTAAGTGCTTCTTGTGAAGTCACTGATCTCAGAGAAACCGCACAAGAGAAGTGGCATCTCCATTTTATTCAGATTCTCAACACTGAAGAAATGTGCCCAGGATCCTAGCTGTGTCAAACGAAATGACAGATTGGTAGCTTACACAGCAGACGTTTATTTTCTCATAGCTCCAGAGGCTAGAAGTCAAGATCCAAGGTTTGGTTTCCTCAACCTTCTTGGCTTGCAGGTCGCTGCCGTCTCCCTCTGTCCTCACTTGGTTTTTCCTCTGTGCAAACAGCCTTAGTGTCTGGGTGTCCAAATTTCCTCTTCTAAGGACACCAGTCAGACTGATTAACTTACCCTAATGGCCTCATTTTAACTTTAAGAAGGCCCAATTTCCAATCGGTCACATTCTGAGATACTGGGGGTTAGCACTTCAACATTTGAATTTCGGAGGACACAATTCAGCCCATACCTCAGGATTATAATATGGCTCTGATGGGATCTGAACTAACATTTGCCAGACTCGTGAGAAAATTCAATAGGGTGCAAGATGCCCTGCAGATTTAGATCTGAGGCTGGGAAAGTGGTCATTTACACAATATTTATAGAATTCCTGCTAAATATAAAGAGTGGAGTATACAACAGTCAACAGTTGTTGGTTCCAGTAACTTTACAATCTACTCTGTTGGGCGGAGGGAGACACAAATAGGTAATTATATTAATTCCTGCAAAATACATTTAGGAACAAAAGTTCTGCATATAATTTTACATCTGTAGGAAACGCAAGTAAGTACTTTATCAGGATTAGCACTGAGAGAAAATTAGTTGCAACTAGGTCGCAGGGGTAAAGAATCTATGTGACACAGGAAATGCAGATTAGATCCCCGGGTCAGGAAAATTCCAAGCCAGGAAATAGCAACCCAGCCCAGTACTGTTGCCTGGGAAATCCGACCGACAGAGGAGCCTGGTGGGCTACAGTCCATGGGGTTACAGGGTCTGAGGTGACTGAGCAACTGAGTACATAGGTCAAGGAAACTTGGCTACTGGGAATCATCTGTTTGGGCAAAAAAATAGTTTTGCTAAAAACTTACTTTTGAATCATTCTTTTCACTGATTTTAATCTAATTTCAATAGTCCAAGTTTGAACCAATAGGTACGAAAAGGCTACCATTCATTGACTACTAGTGGTTAAGTACTTCACAAATATTATCTATGATCCTTGCTTGAAAGTTTGCAAGACTGCTTCTATGCCCACCTATTACAGATGAAGAAAGATGTTTTGAACAAACCTGATCTGAGCAATGCTAAACACCATAAGTGGTCCAGTGGGGGTTTGAATCTTAGCCTGAGTGTCCAATCCACCACCTTTACAGGAGCTACTCTGGCAATGCGTTTCTTGTTTCTTCTGACCTACAAGCCTAACTCTTAAATCCTGAAGAAAAATGTACTTCAAGGGCTAAGATTTTAAACCATATTACTATCTGGTTACTACAGATTTTCAGATAATGACCTACTTATTAATTAAAAAACATCAACCAAAGCTTCCACCTACTTCTGTTTTATTGATTATGCCAAGGCCTTTGACTGTGTGGATCACAACAAACTGTGGAAAATTCTTAAAGAGATGGGAATACCAGACCATCTGACCTGCCTCCTGAGAAATCTGTATGTAGGTCAGGAAGCAACAGTTAGAACTGGATATGGAACAATAGACTGGTTCCAAATAGGAAAAGGAGTATGTCAAGGCTGTATATTGTCAACCTGCTTATTTAACTTATATGCAGAGTACATCATGAGAAATACGAGACTGGATGAAGCACAAGCTGGAATCAAGACTGCCAGAAGTATCAATAACTTCAGATATACAGATGACACCACACTCCCGGCAGAAAGGGAAGAACTAAAGAGCCTCTTGATGAAAGGGAAAGAGAAGAGTGGAAAAAGTTGGCTTAAAACTCAACATTCAAAAAACTAAGATCATGGCATCTGGTCCCATCATTTCATGGCAAATAGATGGGGAAACAGTGGAAACAGTGATAGACTTTATTTTCTTGGGCTCCAAAATCACTGCACATGGTGACTGCAGCCATGACATTAAAAGATGATTACTCCTTGGAAGGAAAGTTATNGGTCCCATTTTTCTTCCGCGAGGCCGTGTCAGCTTCTGGGACGTCCCCGTTTCGCCGGGGCTGGTTTTCCCTGGACAGCTGCGAGCTCTTGGTTTTCCTTCTTTCCGAGTGGGAGCCGAGAGTACTCTTCCCGGGCCCAGGGCGGCGGTGCAGCCGGGCGGGGAAGACTTGGAGTGAAAAGCCGCCCGCGACACCGAGGATACAGCTCCCTCATGGGAGTCCAGGGGCTCTGGAAGCTGCTGGAGTGCTCCGGGCGGCAAATAAGCCCGGAGACGCTGGAGGGGAAGATCCTTGCTGTGGGTATCCTTTACGCGGCGTCGGCGCTGGGGATGCTCGGTGGACGCCAGGGTTGTTGTTGTTAATTTAGTTTTTTTAATTGAAGGATAACTGTTTTACAGAATTTTGTTGTTTTCTGTCAGACATCAACGTGAGACGCCTGGGCTTTTTGCTCACAGTTTTCCTGGGGCGCAGAGCGGCATTGGTGCGATGAGGGTCTCAGCCCGTGGGGTCTCACGCCAGCGGGGGAGGCGGTGGCGGGGAGTAGCTATCGGATCTTCCTCAGGACGCTTCCTTTCTCAGTGTCTGCTTTCCTCCCGCGTTGCACTCACAGCTCCCTGGCTTGGAGTCTTAGGCCCAGCGCTCTACGCTTCTCTACAGTTGTTTAATCTGGGAAGTGGAGGTGATAAGTCTCTGCACATAGAGTCGGTGGGAGGAATAAAGGAAATATTTAAATGAAAGGAGTTTAAAAATAGTGTCTGGCACTGTTAATACTGTAAATCCTGAAGATGTTGTTCCGGCTGGGAGGTCAGCCTGGAGAAAACGAAGTCGACTCCCTGCCAGTAGTTTTGCCAGCCATCCTGAGTCTTGCTCCGTTTATATTTGTGAGAGGAAGAAAAACGTGTGCGGACATGTTTTACATTTTCTTTTTTTTTTTTTCAGTGACATTGCTTTTTGTTATGATTTTTGGAATACGAAATTCGTATGGTACAACACCGCAAAGATTTCAAAAGGTGTTCAGTGCATTATTCTCCCAGCCTCTGTGATGGATTTGTTTGTGTGCGTGTTTGGCTGGTATTATCTTTAGAATTAAATGTTTTTTCCTGGTTACTGAAAGAAGTGAAAGCTGTTTCTGAAATTTTAGTATTTTTATTCGTTAGGCATTCTTTTTTCTGTTTTTATCTTTATTTTCTTTTTCTGAGTGTCTGTTCTGTTGCAGAAGCTGGTGGTACCTTCCACCAGTTCCCTAAGTGGGGACATGTGAGCCTAGGAACTCCATGCTCTGTGGAGAAGACAGCCCTGCAGTAATTGCTGTGGTAAATGCACTGTCAGAGGGGGTGGGGAACACTGGTAATTTTTTTTAAGTAAAGCAGGACGATGATGATGAGGTTTATATATATATTTTTGCAATGTGGGTAATTTAAAACACATCCTTAATGAATAGTAGCTTAAAAGTTTTATGCCTGGTACTTTGGGGCGAAGGTTTGTGTTCTTTTAAAGTACACGAGCTGTTGCTGCCCTCTAGTGGTTCATTAAACCACTGCTTTCTGAAGGTTTTCTCCTTGGAACTATTAATATCTATCCATAGGAATGAAAGCAGTTCTCAGAGCAGGAACCCTTAAAACGTCAGCAAAAATTTATATGAGTTTACATTGCAACCCATAATTTGTAAAATGTATTCAGGTTTTTTGGCTTTATTTGTTAATGAAGAAATTACTGTTGGCATACTAGGTTCATAATTTATTCTTGAAACCCTAAAATAAATTATTTGGTCTTTTTACCATTTCCAGCTGAGCGTCTTGTTTATTTACACAATATAAATGTTCGTGTCAAATAATAAAGAATTAATTAAACTTTCGTCTGTTATGGACCTTAGCATTTGTAAAATACACTTAACTCTATTATTAACAAAATATTACACTGTTTAGACCCCACCTACAATGTGGGGGACCTGGGTTCGATCCCTGGGTTTGGAAGAGTCCCCTGGAGGAGGGCATGGCAACCCATTCCAGTGTTCTTGCCTGGAAAATCCCCGTGGACAGAGGAGCCTGGTGGTCTGAAGTCATGGGGTGGCACAGAGTCAGACGTGACTGAGCGACTAAGCACAGCGTGTTTAGTAGCCTGTGTTTCAGAAGGTTCATATCTAGTTCCAAGGGATAGCAGAGTGGAGAGCTACCGATCTGAAATTAGATTTTCTCATTCCCTGTGGCTCAGATGGCAGAGAAATCTGCCTGCAGCGCTGGATACTCAGGTTCAGTTCCTGGGTCGGGAAGATCCCTGGAGAAGGGAACGGCAGCCCACTCCAGTGTTCTGGCCTGGAGAGTCCCATGGACGGAGGGGCCTGGCGGGCTGCAGTCCCTGGGGTCGCAAAGGGTCCCACGTGACTGAGTGACTTAACACTCTTCATAAAATTGAATGAGTTCAGTAGAAACTACTCCACCTAATACAGTGGTGTAGCAACTGGAAACAAGCCAATTAGAAATTTTGACCCAGTACAATACAGAACTAAGCCAACAACGAATCCTGCTTCCAGGATGGACCCTTGAACTGACGTCTTCTCGTCCTCACCCCTGCATTCTGCTTTCACTCAGGCCGTTGTAACTAGTTTAAAGCCGGTTTCCTTGTATTACTAGTTCCTTCCTCACTTGGCCACTGGGGTGAGTCCTCAGTCACATCCTTCCAGTGACTGCAGGTCCATCACGTGCTCTCCCTGCTCCTCTTGCACCTGCCACGCTGTCCTTGAACAGAACGCACTTCTGTCCCAGGGCATTTGCGTTTGCTATGCCTCCTGCCTCACTGTCTTCTCTCATTCCTCCTGTTCATTCGCTGCTCTAGACCTCTGTTTCTTCTTTGGACAGGCCTTCCCTGTCCGTTGTAGTCCTGTTGGCTCAGACGGTAAAGAATCTGTAATGCAGGAGACCTGGATTTGACCCCTGGGTTGCAAAGATCCCCTGGAGAAGGAAATGGCAGCCCACTCCAGTATTCTTGCCTGGAGCATTCCATGGACAGAGGAGCCTGGTGGCTACAGTCCACGGGGTCGCAAAGAGTCAGACACGACTGAGCAACTTTTGATGTTTCCCCACCTAAAGGGCCATTGACTCCCAATCACATTTTTGTCCATTTGCTATATTTTTTCATTGGCACTTAGCAACAACCTAATGTATTCTGTAACTATACTTGATTTTTGTTGTCTGCCTTCCCCATTAGAATCGCACGTTTCTCAGGGGTCTGGACCCTGACTATTTTGTTCATGGCTTTATTTTTCACTCTTCTATCCTTAGGATTTTGGATATGTCTAGTAGCCCACAAAAAGCTAGGAGTGAGTCTAGCTTGCTGTCCACTAGTTATTTTATGTAGTGTTTATTCAGTTAATTGTTGATGGGCCTGGTCTTTTATGGTGGTAAGTTAGGCAATGTCGTTCATACAGATATTTAACTGTTCAGCTTATTCGACTGCAGGTCTTCATTGCCTCCTCTTTGCGCTGAGAGGGAGAGCCGTGCCTGCCGGTGTGGTTTAGACGCATCACGGAGCTCACAGTCTGGACTGCTCCCCCACCAGATTGTAAACTCCATTAGGCCAAATGCCTTGTTTGGTCTAGGTCTGTATCCCCAGCTCATAGAAGCATTTCTGCTGTGAAGTCAGCAAGGTGTTTTTACACAGGAGTGGATAACTGGACGTCTTAATCTTGGCTGAGGGCGTGACTCCTAAATCTGACCTGAGACCTGAGAGGAGGGCTCTCTAGGCTCAGAGCGGGAGGAGCTTTTTCAGGCTGGGGAAAGAGCCTGGAGAAGACCCTGCAGGAAGGAAGGAGCTCAGTGGCTTGACATGAGCCAGGAGAAATGAGCAGAGGGCAGCTCATTCAGGGCTTCACAGGCATTGGGTAGAAGTTTCAGATGATATCCTAAAGGCCATGGGAAGCTTCCCAGGGGTTTTCACTATAGGTATGTTAATGAAATCTAACGTACACTTTCAGGATAGACTAAAAGGTAGAACTGCTGGGACCTTGCAGGGCCTGGTGAGGGGAAGGTATGGGGTGGTGCTCAGGGTTCTGGCTTGAGCGGATTGGAGAGATGGCCACTGAAATGGGGGCGTGAGCAGCCTGGTGAGAAGACGCGGAGCTCAGATTTGTTTTGTTTTATTTATTTATTTTTTAAACAGATCTCAGTTTTTGCTTGTGTCAAGTCTGCAGTGACTGTGAGGCAGCAGGTCTAGATGTCAACTCAGCCATCCATTCTGGGGTCAGGAGAGCTCTGGGGCAGAGGTGCATGTGGAGGTAGCCTGGATGGATGCTGCGGACAGGAGGAAAGGACAGGGCCTGAGCGGCACCACCGCGGAAGTGAGCACTCTGATGGTGGGCCAGGGGAGTGGGCAGAGATCCAGGGAACGTGGCAGAGGGCTGTGTCCCTCTCTTAGGAACAAACAGAAAACAGCTGGTTAAAAAGCACTATTTAGTGAAGTTTAAAAATAGAAGACGACTCCAAGAAGAAAACAATCAGTTGTAATCACAGCAGAGATAGCTACTCTTAATACTGGGTTGACCAAAAATTTCCTTCTGGTTTTTCTGTAGTATCGTATGGAAAACCCTGAGCCATCTTTTGCTGCAACCCAGTGTTTTGAGGTCTGAGCTTCGAGTATATTTAACATAATGCATAGGTTACACAATAGATGTATATTTTCCATACTTTTGTAACCTGTTTTATTTCTTCCTTTAATAATTTGTGACTGCCTTACATGCTTAGGCAGCTTCGATTTTTAAGGGTCACTTGGATTCCAGCAAATCATGATATTATAATCTAATTACAAATAAAAAGACCAGTTGGAAAACTTCCATTCTTCATATTTTCATTATTATAAACAAAACCACCTTGTAAGTCACTCTGATTATAAGTCTATGATGATTTCTAGAGGATACGCGTTGTGGAAGTGGAATTCTTACATAAAAGAGAATGTAGATTTTAAAGTGTTTTGCTTTGAATTGCTAAATCGTTCTCCAAAAGAGTTGGTTAATTTACTAAAATTTCATGTAGATCACTGATTTCTTTTAAAGAAGTTCCTTTCAGTTAGACTTTTTGAAGGAGACATGTGCCTGTGTAAGGTTTTACAATTCAGGATGTAAATACTGATGACAGGAGCCCAACTAAAGTGAACTCACTTTAGGGAGATTCCAGTAGGGCTGAACATTTTTCAGTTTCAAGTGAATTGGGATGAGTGCTCAGTTTTAATGTTTCGATAATATCAGACATTGGGAATTTTAAGGGGAGGGAAGGATTTGCAGAGTGTTTTCCATGAACAATTCTTCTAGATATTAGCATCTGGTTAAACCAGGCTCTTAAAGGAGTCCGCGATCGCCACGGGAACTCGATAGAAAACGCCCATCTTCTCACTTTGTTCCACCGACTCTGCAAACTCTTATTTTTCCGAATTCGTCCTATTTTTGTGTTTGATGGGGATGCTCCACTATTGAAGAAACAGACATTGGTAAGAGTTATATATATATAAAATTTTTTTTCTGTCTGCATTCTTAGAATTTTAGGTCAAATTTTAATTGACCTAAAATTAAAATTTTCTTCTTAGAATTTTGGAAACCAAGACTTACTTTGACATATATTCAATTTAATTCAACTTTTAAAAGTTTATCACGAACAGATAATTTATTTTCAAAGAGATTTACCTCTGAAAACATTGTATGACATGGGTGCAATAATACTTAACTTTTAATAAAACTATTAAAGTTAACAGTAGTTATACTAAAGAATTTTCCCTTTAGATTGTCTTCTTAAGTGTTCTACAGTTAAACTTACACAATATTGTATGGCAACTATATAAAAAAAAGAATGTTTTTATATTCCTGCCTTACATTCAACTATAGAGACTATTTCATTTTATCCTGTTTGGAAATTTCTTGTGAGATATTTCTGTACATTTAAAATTTCTTATGACATCATTTTGGATATGGAAGGGCAGAGTTATGTATAAGTGATGTGTTTTTATAAAAACTAATACCAGAAATTGGTTTTGACCTAAGAGTAGCATTTTAAAGACTAGTTAATTGATGTAATAATCCCTTTGGGGAAGCATTTACTTAATTATATAGTATTAAGTTTAGGCTTCTTGGGAACATTAAAGAACATTTAAAAGAAACAAAGTAATGCTTTCCCAAATACATTGTATAATAATTCATTAAGTAATACTTAGTTGGAAACTCTGACTGTCCTTTACACAACAAAAACCTGAAGCTATTCACTGGTACACTAATTAGGAGAAAATACTGAAACAGGTATAATCTGAAAACTCAGAAGACAAACCAAATTCCATGGGGAAAAAAGCCACAGAATTGTTTTTAATATACTAATACCTCGAGATAAAATCCTATATTCTTTCTTCTCACAGGCTAAGAGAAGGCATAAAAAGGACTTGGCCGCCAGTGACTCCAAAACAACCACAGAGAAGCTTTTGAAAACATTTTTGAAAAGACAGGTTATCAAAACTGCCTTAAAAAGCAAAAGGTAAGCAGAGAATTACATTCATTTCAAAGATGAACATTTTTATGTTTGCAGTGAGTTCTGTGATTCCCATTCCCTAATGAGAGGAATCAATGGAATGTCCATTTGACCGAGTGAATTGAAGTTGTGAAAGTTCTCTGTCCTGTTCTCTGAGAATCAGCTTCGACAGCAAGGAGGAAAAGCTGCTAGCTTGCATCGCTTGTCCGTTTTACTCTCCTAACAGTCTTCTACATGCCAAGACCAGATTCCCTCTTTCTGGAGGCAGGCAGGCCAGCAAGGGCAGAACCCATCCCCGAGTTTCCCCTTCTCAGCTGGGTTTGTGTGTTCAATGGGGAATACTACTGACTCTCAAAACACCATTTCCTGTCATCTCTGGTGACGTCTCTGTGTACTTTTCAGGGAGGAAGCCCTTCCCAGTCTTACTCAAGTTCAGAGAGAAGATGACATCTACGCTTTGCCACCTTTACAAGAGAAAGAGAAAAACAGGTAAATGTTTTAACTATTTAAAAATGTTATTGCTGCATTCAGACAGATTTAAACCTTTATGTTTTCCTTAAATGATAAGGTGTCTTGGATTAATGCATCTGCAATACACATTCTCGACACTTTTAGATTGGTTTTTAAAGGCTACATCTTCTATTGACTCCATTTGTGTTTTAGTGGTTTGTGGTGGTTTCCTTTCTTCCTCCTCAGGAGCCTGTGTTAGCACTGTTCATTTAGAGTTTGTGGAGATGTGGATTCTGTTTTTTCTGAGTCTTTGCTGACACCTGCCGTCTGAATGTGCTTCTCAGCCTGGCATTTTCTCTCTCACCATCGCTGAAGTCCACGCACACGATGTCCTCCCTTGTTAAATCCAGTGGCTGCTTTGCAGTTCTCAGGCTGATTGGTGCCCACATGGTTCTGCTCTCCGGGGACCTCTCAGGTCGCTCTTCCTCCTGCTGGCTGATAATCCGCAGCGGCTTCTCTGGTTGCAGTGCAGGTGGAGGGCCAGTTTGTCCTTCCCCGCTCACCCCTTCCTTTCCCAGGGCTCCCGTGAGGCCACACAGCTTTTGAATCCCTGCTGCTGCCATCACTGTGTCTCGAGGTTATTGGCCTGGCTTCCGCACTTCTGTCTCCATCTCTGATCTTACCCTTTTGGAGGAACTCCTGTCAGGCCCAGTTGCTGATTTGTAGTGTAGAACCTGTTAAAACTCAAATCTGATACTGTCGTGTCCTTGCTTAAAACACTTTCTAGTTTCTTCTTTTTTCTCTAAGCAGTGTAATTGCGAGAGACTTCAGAAAGCTCCTGCGGCGAGGTGACTCTTAATTGTCCCTTTGGCAAACCTGCTCTGCCCTGGTGATGGAAGGTGTTAGATCTTGTTATGATCGCTCCCTTACAGGTGTCCCCACCAGACGGTGAGACCAAAGACGGCTCAGTTCTTGCCATCTTATCCACCACTGTAGCTTCTGTAACTAGCAGTGCCTTGCACTCAAGAAATATTTTTGTAAGTTGTCATTAAATCATAGGTATTATAAATCTGTATTTGACTTTCAGTTCAGAAGAGGAGGATGAAAAAGAATGGCAAGAAAGAATGAGTCAGAAACAGGCATTACAGGTATTTAAATAATTTTTGAATTCAGGATTCATTCTGTTATTAGTATTTGAAATGAATAATGTGAAAATGAATGATTTTAATGAGGTAGTATGGACTTATGAATGTTCTTGATAAGAAAGACAGACAGATATTACCTTATTTGTTGTGTATATATATGTGTGCATGCATTATATAAAATATACACATGCTTATAAACATATATGTAATTATGCATATCTAGATACCCAAAATAAGCCATCTCTCTTTTTTAGCCAATCAGTAAATAAATATAATAATTAATGCTTATATAGTATAATAATTAATGCTTATATAAAAATATGGAAAGCATATCACCCATGAATAACTTCTAGTAGCATTTTGCTGTATGTCAGTGCCCCTCCCACCCTGTATAGTTGCATATCTGTGTGTGTATGTGTGTTTGGAAATGTGTATATGTTTCACGGGTACATGGGTACGTATACATTTACGAAGATCTATGCTGGTGCACAGGCTGTAGTTATCTATTTCTGTGTAACTTAGTGCTGTGACAACAGTCTTATTATCATCGTCTTCGCTGACCTGGGGGTTGACGAGTGCAGGGGGCAGTTTCCTTGAGCGTCTCCAGTGTGGGTGCAGTCAGGCTGGAGCTGGGACTGGAGCCCCTCCAGGCCTCCTCCCCTGCGTGCCCTGCTGCTGATGCTGGCAGTCTGTCAGAACCCCTGTCTGACTGTCCTGAGCTCAGGCGCAGTGGTGGTGGGTTCCCAGGGCAGGAGCCCAAGAGGAAGGGACCGCTGGGCCCGTGCTCCCCTTTGTGACGGCCTTGGTGGATGCGCAGCCTCCCGTCCACGGCGCGCTGTTCACTGGCTGCCGGGCGAGGTCAGCACCTACTGGGTGGGAGGGGAATTCATCCAGAAAAGAAAGGCAGAGAACCTGTGGATGCATTCTGTAGTGTAACGAATAACATGCTTACAAATCGAGCTTGTGCTGTGGATACAAGTTTTTGAAATTTCCTGCAAGTTTCTCAGAATAGCAGGTAACATTCTTTGATTCCCTTGTCTATGTATAATAGTGTTTGACTATGTCTGTTAGAAGACTTTTGAGCTTTGCAAGACTTTGCAAGCTTCTTCAGCTCATGGAGGTCCTGCCTTATTATCACAGCCAAAGAGCAGAGACTTGGTGAAGACCATGGGCTCTGTGGGCAGAGTGACCTGCAGATAAATCTGGGTTCCCCTGCTCGTTAGCTCTGAGATCTTAGGTCTTACGCAACTTAGCTTCTCCATGGTGCTTTTTTTTTTTTTAAATTTTTGATGCCTTCCCTGTTGGAGTGATGAGATCATTCTTGAGGGAGAACACTGGAAGCTCTGACTGAAATGACTGGCCCATTTTAAGTGCTTGCTGATCTACAAACACACAGCACATATACATACAAGAAAGCAAGCTGTATTATTTTTATCTTTACTAATGAAGAGTTTTAAAGTACTTTCATTAATCAAGTTAAAATTTAGAAAAGTTTTATACTTTTGCATGTCTGTGAAATTTCTCACAGTTAATTTCACTTTTGATTTTAAAAAGTGAAAGTGAAAGTTGCACGGTTGTGTCCAACTCTTTGCGGCCCCATGGACTGTAGTCTGCCCGGCTCCTCTGTCCATGGAATTCTCTAGGCAAAAATACTGGAGTGAGGTGCCATTTTCTTCTCTAAGGGATCTTCCCAACCCAGGGATCAAACCCAGGTCTCCTGCATTGCAGGCAGATTCTTTACCTACTGAGTCACTAGGTTAAGAGCAAAAGAGAATGTATCTAACTGAAGCAATTATAAATATTAGTCAAATGCATAAGGCTCACCTCTGTCTCAGGATCTTTGCATTTACTGTCCCTTCCCTGAGAATGCTCTTCTCTGAGAAAATTTTTGGTGTCTTTCATGTCTCTGCTCACAGGTCATTGTGACCCCATGGACTGCAGCATGCCAGGCTTCCCTGTCCTTCACCATCTCCCAGAGCTTGCTCAAACTCATGTCCTTTGAGTTGGTGATGCCATCCAACCATCTCATCCTCTGCTGTCCCCTTCTCCTGCCTTCAGTCTTTCCCATCATCAGGGTCTTTTCCAATGAGTCAGTTCTTTGCATCAAGTGGCCAAAATATTGGAGCTTCAGCCTCAGCATCAATCTGTCCAGTGAATATTTTGGATTGATTTCCTTTAGGATTGCAGTCCAAGGGACTCTCAAGAGTTTCTTAAACACCACCATTCAAAAGCATCAATTCTTGGTGCTCAACCTTCTTTATGGTCCAACTCTCACATCCATACATGACTACTGGAAAAACCATACCTTTGACTAGATGGACCTTTGTTGGCAAAGTAATGTCTCTGCTTTTTAATATTCTGTCATAGCTTTTCTTCCAAGGAGCAAGTGTCTTTCCATTCATGGCTGCAGTCACCATCTGCAGTGACTTTGGAGCCCAAGAAAATAAAGTCTGTCACTGTTTCCATTGTTTCTCCATCTATTTGCCATGAAGTGATGGGACCAGACGCCATGATCTTTGTTTTTTGAACGTTGAGTTTTAAGCCAGGTTTTTCACTTTTTTTTCACTTTTTTTCACTTTTTCAGCTTCATCAAGAGGCTCTTTACTTCTGCTTCGCTTTTTGCCATAAGGGTGGTGTCATCTGCATATCTAAGGTTACTATTTCTCCTGGCAATCTTGATTCCAGCTTGTGCTTCCTCCAGGCTGGCATTTCGCATGATGTACTTGGCATATAAGTTAAATAAGCAGGGTGACAATATACAGTCTTGATATACTCCTTTCCCAGTTTTGAACCAGTCTGTTGTTCCACGTCGGGTTCTAACTGTGGCTTCTTGACCTGTATACAGGTTTCTCAGGAGGCCGGTACGGTGGTCTGATACTCCCATCTCTTTAAAAATTTTCCACAGTTTGTTGTTATCCACACAGTCAAAGGCTTTAGGATCAATGAAGCAGAAGTAGATATGCTTCTGGAATTCTCTTGCTTTTTCTATAATCCAACAGTTGTCGGCAGTTTGATCTCTGATTCCTCTGCCTTTTCTAAATCCAGCTTGAACATCTGGAAGTTCTCGGTTCATGTACTGTTGAATGAGTAAATGGATGTATTCCCTCACCTGTCCATTCACTTTAATGCCTGTTGCAGATTATGTATGTGTTTAGCCTACTGTAGATTATGTAGAACTCTATACAAGCACACACACACAAAGTCTGGCATGGTGAATAGAGTTAAGTGCATAAAATGTAAATGTCATGGTGTTACGTTTCACTCTTTACAGGAAGAGTTCTTTCACAATCCTCATGCAATTGACATTGAGTCTGAAGATTTCACCAGCCTGCCCCTGGAAGTAAAGCATGAAATCTTGACTGATATGAAGGAATTTACTAAGCGGAGAAGAACATTATTTGAAGCAATGCCAGAGGTGAAGTATACAACAGCACGTTAATGTGTAAAGTTTAAGAATGTCAGCAAAGTTTTTGTTAAAATTAAAGAATATTGATAAACATTACTCACACAATCTGTTGTTTTCAGTAAATAGCCTTTGCATAGCTCTGCGATCCTGTGAAACATCATTTATGTATAAGTCGGAACTTAACAGATACTTACTCACAGAAGACTTCTTGACTTTCCACCAAGACCAAGTCTCGTCTCCTGCTCTGTGTTCTGACAGCTCCCTGTGGTGTCTCTTTATATTCTTAGCACCCAAATGTGCCTACCTTGTGCTCTTCTGTATTTTCAGCACTCAGCTCAGTATTTTTCACATAGTAGATGCTTAGTAGTTTGGTCCTTAAGTTAGTTCATGAAAGTTATTTTAATCCATCATATATATTGTAGAATATTAGCAATAATATAGAACCTAGTCATAGTGGAGAAGTTTGTTCTAACTTGAAATTCCAGGTTTCTGTTCCCCTGAAGGCTAAAAGTGTAGTTAGATCTTCCATCTTCTCTCTTCCTCTTTCTGGACGGTGGTAACAGGGATTCAGTGGTAAATTCCTCAACTTGGAGCCTCTGATGGTGGCTTTGTAGCCACAGAAACTTGAAGTGGGGTGGTGCATGGAATTGGGTTCTCTTGAGTGTGTTCCCTGGTCTTACTGCACCATCATTACTGTGTTTAGCTGGTGAATGAGTCTTGTTTTCCTTCCTACTGCTACAACCTGTTCTTTCTAACATTGTTCTCCCATAAATTTTGTAATATTGCTAATGAATGGATGTGGGGCTTTTTTTTTTCTACAGACTTTTGAACATTTCGTAGATTGATACAAAAAATATGAAAAGGGCAGGAGCTGTTTCTTTTCCTATCACTCCCTTTCTGCTTTTCCATGAAGCACATGAATGTAGGAGAACACTAAGGTGTACAGAAATGATGTACAAAGGACAGAAGTAAACTTAATTTCATCTTGGGAGAGGGGGGAATCCATGCTCAGTTTATCAACCAAGCATTTTTAAAAATAATTTTTATTTATTTGCTTTTGGCTGCACCGGGTCTTTGTTGCTTTGCACGGGCGTTTCTCCAGTTGTGGGGCATGCAGAACTTTCTTTGTTGTGGTGCATGGGCTCCTCAGTGTGCGGGCTTCTGTTGGGAGCACGGGCTCTAGGGCAAGCAGGCTCAGTAGTTGCAGCTCCTGGACCCAAGAGCACGGGCTCAATAGTTGTGGGGCATGGGCTGAGTTGTTCACAGCCTGTGGGATCTTCCTGGACCAGGGATTGAACCAATCTCTCCTGCATTGGCAGGTGGATTCTTGACTCCTGAGCCACCAGGGAAGCCCTCTGAAGCCCTCAGTCAAGTGTTTTATTTCTTGAGTGTGAAAGGACCTCTGGCTTGTCTTTGAGGGAACAGAATTTGGATTATGTAAACAGTAGTGGAACAGATGGTAGAAAAAGAGTCCCAGTGCCTTGCTCTGTTTCTTCTCTTTCTTCTCTCTGCTGAGCCTCTGGGCTGGGTCGGCCAGGGTAGAGTGGGGCACAGCCCATTGGATCTGTCATTCTGGTAGCTGAGGGAAGTTCTGAGTCACTCAGGTTGGACCTTTGCATTGTCTGTACATCAGGCAAATGCAATGTTGATAATAGTAATGTTGGTGAGAATATGAGCAATCATAATAATCTTGGTAATAATTTAGTATAAGGCTTAGCAACCTGGTTTTGACCCAGAGCTACCATGTAACTAACCACACGGTTCTAGAGGGGTTACTTAAACTGTTTGAGTCTCACTTTCTTCATTTGTAGAATGGAGATAATGACTTCTGTCTCCTTCATGGTTGAGAATAAAATGGGATAATATATGTAAAAACACTTAGAAGAATGCCTTACTCAGGAGATGTGCTGTAAATGTTAAGTATTATTAATAACTGATTACAATGATTTATCGTGTGTCTTTTGTGAACCAGGGACCAGCACTTCACTTGCATTCTAAAAAACTGTCTGTTAAGCCACAGTCAATATTTCAGACTCCCTGTTGGGCATCCCACGCTCAATAAATGTTTCTTGAGTAAATAATTGAATCATAAACAGGATTCATGATTTCTTTTCTCTTACCCAGTTCTTTTTGTTTGAAAGATTACTCTATAACAAGGCAATTATGGCTTTCCCCTACTATTCACATTTTACTTTTCTAGTGTAAAAATACCACCAATGGGAAAAATCAGTTATTCTTTATCTCCTTTGGGGATAAGGGTGGAAGTATGGGAATGCTATCTGTATTTAATATATGAAATCATTCTGTTGATTTATTTTGCTTTAGGAGTCCAATGACTTTTCACAGTACCAGCTAAAAGGCTTGCTTAAAAAAAACTATCTAAACCAACACATAGAAAATGTCGAGAAGGAAATGAATCAGCAGCATTCAGGGCAAATCCAAAGGCAGTATGAAGATGAAGGAGGCTTTCTGAAGGAGGTGGAGTCCAGGAGAGTGGTCTCTGAGGACACTTCCCACTACATCTTGATAAAAGGTACCACATACCGTCACTTACTTGATGGTTAAAACCCAGAAGTATGTTGCGTCTCTGAATTCTATCAACTCCCACCTGCAGATAATATGAATGAAGCCCTACTTAATTTATTAACTATAATTATTATTAATGTGATGATCTATACAGCCTTTAATGTATTAACTAGTACTGTACCAACACACTTTAAAATTAATTAATTCCTAGTTGCTGGTTAAATGAGAATTTATAACTTCATCATGAGAACAAGTATATTCTTACTCACCTAACTAGAAGTATGCTGTCACCCTGTAGAATGACCTAGTGACACTGTTTTCATTTTTCTCAAGGTATTCAAGCTAAGAAAGTCACAGAAGTGGATTCAGAGTCCCTTCCTTCTTGCAGCGAAAAGCATAGCAGGGCTTTAGACACAAAGTCACCTCCGTGTGAAAAACTGAAGCCAAAGAAAGAGCCTGACGCCTCCCCGCCCTCCCCAAGAACCTTGCTGGCCATGCAGGCTGCCCTGCTGGGCAGTAGCTCAGAAGATGAGCTGGAGGGTGAGCATCGCAGGCTGTGTGATGTGAAGAGCCCACCTGCTCCCGCCCCTGAGGGTTCTGTGTCCCCGCTGACCCTCTTGGCCATTCAGAGAGCTCTCGATGATGATGATGAAGATCTGAAAGTGCATGCCAGTGTGCAGACAGAAGGGGCGGGCAGGAGAAAACCAAGACCGCTGGTGAGCAGTTCTGATGAGGAAGCTGTGGAAGAACCTCAAGTGAGAGATGGAGACAGAGAGCTGTTGACGGCAGCGCCTTGCGCTGCCAGTGTGACCCTCACAGAGGACCATGTGACCCACACCAGTGATGAAAAAGAGCGGACAGACTCGGCTCCTTTACCGCAGACTGTCTTTTGTCAAGGCAGCGAGTCTAGCCTTCCAAAAGAACAGACGCCATCTATGCACGTGGTGAAGGAACCCTTTCAGACCAGCGCTGAGTCTACAGCTCAGGATGGGAAAGATCTTGTTCCTTTAGAAAGCACCGTGGTGCCACATGGGGATGCGCCTGGGCTCTGGGGGGGACCAGAGCAGATACCAACACCTCCGACAAGCCCAAGTTCTGGGTCAAGGAGTGGGACGTACACCAAAGTGTCAGAGCCACAGCAGGCTCTTCCCCCCGAGAGTAAACATGACACCTCTGTTCTCTCAAGTGATGACGAAACAGGATCTGAAAAACATCCTGCTCCTGACGTCGTTGGCACCACCAGTTTGCAGGACTCCAGTAACACCCTGGGTGTCGCTAGAGAGACAGTAAGTGACTTAGGAAATGTGGCATCTGTTAGTGCCCCAGAGCATGAGAATTTCTTGAAAACCATCCAAGAACATGAGACTATTGAATCTGCAGGCCAGGGTTTGATTTTGGTGCCAGAGTCCACAGAACCAACAGAAGCAGACTCCGAAGACAGTGAATCTGACGGTAGGTGCTTGTGCTTTCCTAAGAGAGAAAGAAAAGCAGGATTTCACACCTGAGCATGGTCCAGGTCCACATTGTTCAGCTAATGAACTAGAGACCCAGGAGGGTCAAGTGGCTTTGCCAGGGACACATAGCTCATAATGCGATCTTGACCTTTCCTGGTGGCTGCTCTTTTTGTTGTACTTAAATTAGGGAGGAAGTGCCCTAGTTGGAGGAGATAAAGGTGAGTTTCCCTTTAACTTTTTTAGGTTTTTGTTTTGAAATAATTAGAAAGTTTAAAAATGTTGAAAAAAATACTTCAAAACCTTCTATCTCCCTCACCTAGAACCTCATTACTTGCATTTTACCACATTGGTTTTTCCGTATCTCTCTCTCTCTATATATATATATATAAACATGTACACATGGATATTATATATTTATACACATTTATGTACAGTCAACGGAGAAGGCAATGGCACCCCACTCCAGTATTCTTGCCTGGAAAATCCCATGGACAGAGGAGCCTGGTAGGCTACAGTCCATGGGTTCGCTGAGTTGGACATGACTGAGCAACTTCACTTTCACTTTTTCACTTTCATGCATTGGGGAAGGAAATGGCAACCCACTCCAGTATTCTTGCCTAGAGAATCCCAGGGACGGGGGAGCCTGGTGGGCTGCCGTCTATGGGGTTGCACAGAATCAGACACGACTGAAGCGACTTAGCAGCAGCAGCATGTACAGTCAAACCTCATTTTTCATATTTGCAAAATTGCCTACTCATTAAAATTTATTTCTTAGCTCAGAATCCATCCTCACAGTGGTGTCTTTGTGGTCATCTGCAGACATGTAGAATGACCAAAAACTTGAGTGACCACACTTCCCAGCTGAGGTTGAGCAGGAGACAGTCTGCCTTCTTGGTTCCACTCCCCTGCAGAGGTGACCAGAGGGTGGAGACTGGTGCAGCATAGACCAGGGAGCTCCAGCTCTGGGGCCATCAGATGGGGCTGGAATCCCAACCCCTGCACCTGTTCATGGGGGCGTGCAACACCCTTGAGCTCACACTCGTGTCTGCAGTTCCTCTCCAGCGTCACAGCTCTCACTCCACTCTCTGACCTCTTTGTAATTTCCCTGGCTGACAGTGAAGGACCTTCCACTGTCTTCAGTGTATTTACGTATTGGCTCATTCTCTGTAACCGCCTCCTGGTCTCCCTGGCCGCCTCCTTGGAGGACGGCAGTCTCCTTGGCCCCAGCCCCCAGCCCTGAGAGCCCCAGGTTCTCTGTCTTGAGTGTGTCCTCAGAGCCAGTCCTCTTCACCTGAAGTAGAGGAAGGGATTTAGTCCATAAATGATTTTTAAAGAGAAGAAGAAACATCGAGAGAGGAGGGAAGGGACATGGAAGAAGAAAAGCTGTTTCTCCTGAGTCTTTCTCCAGGGCTTTCTTTCTAAGTCACAGCTTTTTTCTCTGCTGTGTTCATAGTGAAACTGCATAAAAACGTTTTCGGCAACCTCCATCATTGTGTACACACCCTGATAGTTCTTTTTAAATTTTGAAACACTATTAGTTAACTTAGAAAACATTTTTGTATAAAGCAGATTGTGTAAGTATTGAAAGCTCAGTTCCTAATTTCAAAGACAGTGCCAGTATTGTAGTTGAAGAGGCTTATTTTGAAGTTATAGACACTGCTAAATCTATTTAATAATAATATACTGTGGTTATGTGTTTTGTTTTACTTTTAGGTCTTTCCTTTTTAGGGTAGAACACTTTTCAGGACTCTTTGGAAAGCTCTCGATTTCAGGATAACTGTAATGTTTCACTTGCAGACACAGTGACCTCATTATTTTGGTACAGGAAGTTTCATCGAAGTGCAGAGTGTAAATAGCAGTGATGAACTTCAGGCCGAGTCACGGGAAGCTTCCAGACCTCCCTCTGGAAAGCTCTCGATTTCAGGATAACTGTAATGTTTCACTTGCACACACAGTGACCTCATTATTTTGGTACAGGAAGTTTCATCGAAGTGCAGAGTGTAAATAGCAGTGATGAACTTCAGGCCGAGTCACGGGAAGCTTCCAGACCTCCCTCAGGACAAGGCGAGGAGGAACCGACAGGAACTGAGAAGGAAGAAGCCACTGGTGGCTCCGAGGGCCTCCCGAGAGATACTTCTGACAGTGAGGCCGTGGCTACTGAGCGACACGGAGAGACTGAAAAAGATGCAGACAATTCGCTCAACGAGTGGCAAGATATCGATCTGGTAATAACGAGACATTGTGCTCTCACTCACTGCTAAGGAAGCCGAGTTAAGTAGCGTTTGCGTCTCCCAGGAGTTGCAGGTTGAATCCTTACTAGCTGCTCATGCGCATCTTCTTGCTCCTCCTGACGGCTCCTTTCTCGCGTAGGTTGCCGGCTGGGATAGTGTCCGTTCCCTGTGTGAGGTAGTGAGGGAACCCTAAAGGTTTTACAGACTTGCTCAGAAGCCCAAGTGGAAAGCTTTGTAAGGCGAAACAGCTTATTGGCAACTTTAGTCAGACTAAATGCAGACTTTTTAGAACCAGCGAACTTAACTGGGTTAGTAGTATAGTCGTCTACAAATGAAATTATTTTACAGGACGAGCTGGAAGCTCTGGAGAGCAACCTCTTAACCCAGCAGGACTCACTGAAAGCTCAAAAACAGCAGCAAGAACGGGTGGCCGCTACTGTGACAGGGCAGATGTTCTTGGAAAGCCAGGTGGGTGCACGGCCGGGGCCTCCTTGAACAACACCTGCCATGTCTCTACTGAATCAGACCCCCCGAGGCAACGTGCACTGACTGACACGTTTAGTCACGGCCTCCACTTCCGGGGCACGGCCCCCACTTCCGGGGTACGGCCCCCACTTCCGGGGGGAGGCCAGGTCCCGCTCCTCAGCAGGGCTCATGGAGTGTCTTGTCTTTCAGGAACTGCTCCGCCTGTTCGGTATCCCCTACATCGAGGCTCCCATGGAAGCAGAGGCTCAGTGCGCCATCCTGGATCTGACTGACCAGACTTCCGGAACCATCACCGATGACAGTGATATTTGGCTGTTCGGGGCGCGGCACGTCTACAAAAACTTCTTCAATAAAAACAAGTTTGTAGAATATTACCAGTATGTGGACTTTCACAACCAATTAGGTAAGACTTCAGAGTACGGTTACTTTTTGAAGTTTACCTTAGGAATTTATATTATGAATTCTTTCTTTCCAAGTGACTAGTTGGTGTATTAATAGAAATGGTATGGGGAGGCCATGTTCGATCCCTGAGTCGGAAAGATCCCCTGGAGAAGGAAATGGCAGCCCACTCCATTGTTCTTGCCTGGAGTATGCCATGAACAGAGGAACCGGGAGAGCTACAGTCTATGGAGTTGCGAAGAGTTGGACACGACTGAGTGGCTAACCCTTTCACATACATGTTTTCGTATGATGGTCTTTTGCTCCTGAACAATAGGATTTTATTGCTTTATTTTAGTTGCACTGAGTCTTCGCAGAAAGCTAAGTGCAGGGTTTCTCTAGTTAGGTAACCGGGGCTACTGTTCCCTGTGGTGCATGGGCTTCTCATTGCGGTCGCTTCTCTCATTGCAGAGCACGGGCTCAAGGTGCATGGGCTTTAGTAGTTGTGGCTCCGGGGCTTAGTTGCTGTGCAGCATGTGAGATCTTCCCAGACCAGGGATCAAACCCATGTCCCCTGCATTGGCAGACAGGTTCTTATCCACCATACTACCAGGGAAATCCAGAATGGGATTTTAAATTCAGAATGAAGAAGTTAAAGCCCTTGTCATGTTTAGATGTTTTCTGCAGTTCCAGTCCTCAGACCTGGTTACACTCGATTGGTTACCTGTGCTCTCCAGAGTAAACTGGAGGTGGCAGAGAGGGGAGGCAGGTGCGAGTCACTCCCACCGCAATCATGAGCCTCAGGGTCCTGTATTATTTCTGGCAGTGATCCCTCATCCTCCCATTCCTTCAGCAAATATACACTGAGTGATTCCTATATGCCAGTTGTTGTTCTTGGCATTGGGAAGTGGGGAAACAGCAGAGAATAAAACAGTCCAGCAGGAGACACAGATGATGATAAAAACACATAAATCATAATTTGACAGCAGTGTGAGTCAAATAGAAAAATAAAACCACAAAAGAGGCGAGAGTGTCCTGCAGTCACAGGGAGTGTGTGTCCTTTGTGTTCAAACAAGGCTTTACTAATCGTACCTTTGTGGCTGGAGCTAAAGGAGAGAGGAAGCAGGAGCTACAGGTACCTTGGGGTCAGCATGTCTGACAGAGGGACTGGCATGTGCACAGGCTCTGAGGCATAGAGAAACCTGGTTGGCATGTTCTAGAGAGGCATGGAGGTCGTTTTGGGCTGAATTGTGTCTTCCCAGAATTCATGTGTATAGAGTGGACTTGCCTTGAGTGAGGAGGCGGAACGGTAAGGAGCCGGTTGGGGGACAGTGAAGATCTGGGCCTGACTGTGTTTTTTCTGAGACGTCCATGTGACATCCTGGTGGACACTTGATTATGTGTGACTGTGGTTCAGAGGAGTGGTTTCGGGGAGAGAGCTGCATTTGGGGGTCACAGGTTATGGGGCATTGAAAACTGTGAGGATGGATGAAATGTTAAAAATCCTAACGCAATGTCGTTTACAAAAGAGAATCCTATTTCAAATAATGAAACAGATATCTTTGGACATTGGATGAGGATATACACACACATATTATTATTATAAGAAAATAGTTATAAATCTTATGTAATAAATGTTTATAAAACAAAAGATGTAAAAATATGTAATAATTTTTACTCTTACAGGATTGGACCGGAACAAATTAATAAATTTGGCCTATTTGCTTGGAAGTGATTATACAGAAGGAATACCAACTGTGGGTTGTGTTACCGCCATGGAAATTCTCAATGAATTCCCTGGACATGGCCTGGAACCACTCCGAAAATTCTCGTAAGTCCTTTCTTTTTTTTTTTTTTTAAAGTCCTTTCTTAATTTCTTTAGTTCAGGTGTTTATGTATAAACACCCAAATTAAACAGGACTATTATTTACATCATCAACTGTCACAGATCATTCTTCATTGGGAAAGTAGGAGGTAACAGTTGGGGTTCTAAAGTTTGTTTTCCCTTTTCTAGAGTTTGAGGAAATCAGAGAAACTTATGTTTAGATTATATTTTTTATCTGAGCTAAAGGATACGTAGCCAGTCCTGCAGGATTTCCTGGGAGTGTAAAAGTTACCATGTCATTCCTTCACATGTTTTTTGAGGACCCATAATGTGCCAGACAGTGTGCTGGGCTGGAATAGGAAAGATGGCCGAGTCACAGGCTGTGCGCTTAGGAGCTGCTGCACTCTGGGGCCAGGGGAAGCATGCGTGTACTGGTACTTCTGTGTCTGAGCGTGCCAAGGGAGATCGGCCAGACCGGGGAGTGGGAATATATGTCTTAGCTCGTCGATGGCAGATAGAAAGGGCATGAAAAGGGTGAAGGGCAGAAAGACAGAGAGTCGCCTTGCTTTCTTCTCTGCTTTCCCTTCTACCCAGACCCTGGCTGATTACTCCCCACTAAGGCAGAGCTACTCCGAGTCTATGGGCTGAATTCAGCCCAGCTGTGTTGGGTTTGACCTACACAGTATGTTCTTTGATTTGGAGTTGGCTACCAACATTGAAATTGGGGGAGATTTCACAGAAAATTTTGGAGGAAGGGAAATAAGACCTGAAAGTGCTGGGCCCAGATTCCCAAATAGTCCCAAAGCAGAGAAGAGCAATTCCACTCCACTGAGTTGGTCAGGGCACGAAGCCTTCAGTTTTGTCCCGGTCGCTGCCACTCCCTGTCGTCCCCCTGGAGCTCAGCTGATGGGCAGCTCATCGTGGCCGTCTTTCATCCATGTGTTAAGTGCCTGGGCCGCTTGCTTTAAGGAGGGGTGGTCCTTTTGGTTTGATGAGTTTGCTGTGCCGCTCTTCCTAGCGGCAGTCATGATTATTGTGTCAAAGATGAAAATTCACAGGCCAGTAGGGGAGACATAGAGGTATTCTCCCATTGCCCTCTTGGACAATAATATAGAACTGATGAAGATAGATCTTTTTTTTTTTTTTTCCTTTTTGCATTTCGATCCTGCACTCTGGCTGATTACTCCCCACTAAGGCAGAGCTACTCCGAGTCTATGGGCTGAATTCAGCCCAGCTGTGTTGGGTTTGACCTACACAGTATGTTCTTCTTTGATTTGGAGTTGGCTACCAACATTGAAATTGGGGGAGATTTCACAGAAAATTTTGGAGGAAGGGAAATGAGACCTGAAAGTGCTGGGCCCAGATTCCCAAATAGTCCCAAAGCAGAGAAGAGCAATTCCACTCCACTGGGTTGGTCAGGGCACGAAGCCTTCAGTTTTGTCCCGGTCGCTGCCACTCCCTGTCATCCCCCTGGAGCTCAGCTGATGGGCAGCTCATCATGGCCGTCTTTCATCCATGTGTTAAGTGCCTGGGCCGCTTGCTTTAAGGAGGGGTGGTCCTTTTGGTTTGATGAGTTTGCTGTGCCGCTCTTCGTAGCGGCAGTCATGATTGTTGTGTCAAAGATGAAAATTCACAGGCCAGTAGGGGAGACATAGAGGTATTCTCCCATTGCCCTCTTGGACAGTAATATAGAACTGATGAAGATAGATCTTTTTTTTTTTTTTCCTTTTTGCATTTCGATCCTGCACAAAGACTGCAGTTGGTCTTTCTTAGCACTAGAGGGCACTGTTGCCTTGGTGAGGGGCCGCACTGGCAGAGACCAAGTCTGTCAGTTCCTAGGACTCAGGATTGAAGCAGTGATAGATAGTTTTTTAGGTTCCGTTGAATGAATATATTGTAAAGGGTTATAGTTACGTTTTTTAACTTTCATGCCATTTATTTATCCTAAACTGTATAAAATGTTCTGGCTGTTGGCTGCATTACAAACTACCTTAAGTCTCAGTGACTTCACACAGCAGTAGTCACAGATTTTGCTCATGAATCCGCAGTTTGATCAGGCTGCATGGGGATGTCTTGCCTGCTTCCAGGTGTGTCAGGGGCACCTGAGCTGGGCTGGGGGGCCACTTGAGATGGCCTACTCCTAGCTGGAGACTGGAGCTGTCAGCAGAGCTCAGCCAGCAGTGTGGACCGGGGGCCTGGACCCAGTCACCGCATGTCGGCAGCTTTCAAGGCAAACAGTCTAAGAGACAGAAAGTGGAGACTGCAGTCTCTGAAGGCCTGGCAGTCGCTTCCTTGGCCACAGAGCCCGCCCAGCTCAAGGGGAGGAACATGGAACCCTGCTTCTTGTTGGGCGGAGGGGCCAGCGTGGGCTCTAACCCACCACAGTGATTTGTACTCATGATGGAAAAATTGAATAAGGAATAAAACATGAAGAAAATTAACAGCTGTATCCTCACTTAGGACATTGCCTAGCACAGGATAAAAGAAGAGCTGTTAGTGTTTTTTATCATTGTAAATACTCCTATGTACTTTTTCTCTCTTTCTCCACATATATGTATTTTTCCCAGTATTGGGATCATATTTGATGTAGAGTTGTATTCTGCATTTTTAAAATTTGACAGTCTTCATGGTGTTTTTACATTCTATTAAATATTTTTGGGTTCCTTATTGTAGTTGACTTGAAGTAAATAATACAGATACATTACTTCAACTTGGGCTTTCATGGTGGCTCAGCTGGTAAAGAATCCGCCTGCCAGTGATGGAGATGCAAGAGACACAGGTTCGAACCCTGGGTTGGGAAGATCCCCTGGAGAAGGAAATGGCGACCCACTCCAGTATTCCTGCCTGGAAAATTTGTTACCATTTTAACTATCTTAAGTGTACTTGTTCAGTGATAGGAAATACTTTCCCATTATTGTGTAACTGTCATCACCATTCACCCCCATATTATTCTTATCTTCTGAAACTAAAACTCTGTACCTATTACACACGAGCCCCCCGTCCCCCTCCGTGACCCTGGCCACCACCATCTGCTTTCTGTCTTTGTGACTTTGACCACTTCATGTATGTTCATCACGTAAGTTACACCATACTGTATAGATCTCTTCGTGACTGGCTTATTTCACTTAGCATATCCTCAAGGTTCGTCTAACTGTAGCATGTGGCAGACTCTCCTTCCTTTTTAAGGCTGAATACTGTTCCATTGTATGTAGTATCACATTCTGTTTATCCATTCATCTGTTGATGGACACTTGGGTCCCTTCCATGTTTTAGTTATTGTCAATCATCTCTTTAGTTTTAAGGAGGATCTTTTTTTTTTTTTTTAAGGCCTCGCAAAAGCAAGGCCTCAAAAAATTGGTTTAAGACTCAGAATTGTTCCTCTCCACGGAAATCTTTAGTAAAAGGCAAAAGATTTATACGGTCTGAAGAGAAACCAGAGTATAAGGAGGATCTTTATTTGAAATAAATAGTGATAAGCAATCATATTGAAGTGTTTATTCTGAAAGAATAGAAAAGATGATTAGGTTTGTTCTTTTTATTACTATTCTTTTCTGCCTATTTAAATAATCACTTGGATAGATATTTTAAAGTTTGCAGTAGTATTAATTTAAACTACATCTTTTTCTCTCAAAGAAATATATATGATATCAGAAATTTGTTTTTATCCTAGACTAATCTTTTTTCATAGTCACTTGAGTGTCCTAAAATGAGAGTTGGATGTCTTTTATCTTAGTGGATATTTATAAGAACATATTGCCATTATGTTGGAGTAATTTATCTTCTTTTACCATTTTAATCTTTATGAAAATCTTTGGAGACATGGGAAGTGGAGTCAAGGGTGGGTTGTTTGGACCTTTTTACTTATCACCTGTAAATATCTTTAAAAACAGTATAAGTCTTAACTGCCTGCATATTTTGTCAGCGGTATTTTGGCTGGAACAGGACGAAGACAGATGAATCTCTGTTTCCTGTATTAAAGCAACTGAATGTCCATCAGGTAATTGTGACAGCTCTTTTCCTAGGTTCAGGATAGAGAATAAAGTTAGTAAGGCTGTGATGGCCAGCTGTTAAAGACATGTTACTTTTACTTTGTGGGGCTTCCCTGGTGGCTTAGATAGTAAGGAATCTGCCTGCAATTCAGGGGATCTGGGTTTGATCCCTAGGTCAGGAAGATCCCCTGGTGAGAATGGCTATCCATTCCGGCATTCTTGCCTGGAGAATTCCATGGACAGAGGAGCCTGGCAGGCTACAGTCCATGGGGTTGCAAAGAGTCAAACATGACTGAGCGACTGTAAAAGAGGCCTCTGTATGGCCCTCAATTCCCTTGGGTAGGTAACAGCATCTTGTTTTATCCACGAGTGTGTTCCTACCCACACAGGAACCTCCTCTCACCCCAGAGACAGCCCACAAAATGTACATACAGGTAAATCATTCTGCAGAATTCAAACCAAATCCTGCAACATACATGTTCAGATTAAATCCTTTTCAGTTAGGTTGGGTTAATCATGAAAAAAACACGAAGCTGAAGTAGACCGCCTTTCCAGAAAGTTTCATGTGGTTTATTTGATGACTTTCTGTACTGGAGACCTTGTATGCCCACCAACAAGGAAAGCTAGTTGGCTTAGTGACTGATTACTGCTTAATTTCAGATGAATTTTTCTGAAATACTGTTCTCCCTTTTCATTGTAGAAGTTAATATAAGTTTATTTCTCTGAAATTAGAAAGTGAAAAAAATAAATTAAAATTACAAAGTTGTTTGCTTCTTCCAACATAGATGTTAACATTTAGGTCTGTTTTCCCTTACTTTTCCCCTCCTTCCCACATATATTTGTTACCAGACATAATTGCAATTTGATATAAATAATCCCCCCATTCACTGGTTAGGGTAAGTTTTTCTCTGTGTGTGTTTTTGCATAGCTTTCATTTTAAATGTCCAGATTATATCATTTTGTCAAAGAGATTTAACTTAATTGGTTCACTTCCCATAGTGGACCTTGAATTTTCAGGTTTTTGTATGTAATGCTGTGATGAACATCAGGCATTTAACTTTTCTCAAACAGCTATTTTTAAGGAATGACTTTCTGAAAGTGGATTTTTAGAACAAAAGTCAAGAATATTTCTTACGACTCCTAATATATAATACTGTGAAGTTGCTTCCTAAAGGGATCATGATGACAGTGTTTTTAAAAGGAAAGAGTAGAATTTAGAAACAGACCCCATGAAATCGTGTTGCTATAAAAGAAGATGATTTTGTCCCTGAAAAATATTTAACTCTCTTTGAATGCTGACGAAGGGATTTCTTACTTGATATGTGGGCAGAAGGATTAGTTGACAGAGGTGGTACTTTTAAGTATGATCTTGAAAGTAGAATTTACTGCCAGCATTCATTTGGGAGAGATAGACTTTTTGTTTTTTCATTCTCTTCCCTTTTAAAAAATATTTATTTTTAATTGGAGGATAATTGCTTTACAGTGTTATGTTGGGTTTTTGCCATACATCAACATGAATCAGCCATAAGCTTACCCTTTTGAGAGAGAATGAATTGGTATTTTCTGAAAGAGTCATCCAGTGCCACTAATCATAAGGTGGGATTCTTTGATTTGCTTTGGAAAGTTTACTTCCTTGTCTGATTGATTATTATTTCATTTTTTTAGACACAGCTCCGAATTGATTCTTTCTTTAGATTAGCCCAACAGGAGAAACAGGAGGCTAAGGGTATTAAGAGCCAGAGACTTAACAGAGCTGTGACATGTATGCTGAGAAAAGAAAGAGAAGCAGCAGCCAGTGAAATAGAAGCAGCTTCTGTTGCCATGGAGAAAGAGTCTGAGTTCCTTGATGAGGAGAAAGGAAAAACCCAGAAGAGAGGCACAGCAAATAGGTGGAAAGAGCCATCCAGCCCGAAAAGAACGAGGCTTTCGGATTCTAAAGGAGGGAACGACAGCGGTGGGTTTTTGGGGGAGGCCTACCTCTCGCAGTCCTCCGAGGCCTCTTCAGGTGAGGATGCGGAGTACTTCCCCGCGATGGGCGTGCAGAGGGCGAAGGCACCTGGGGGGTCCAGAGCCCGCACGTCAGCTGCACAGAGCGCAGCGCAGCCTGCTCCCCGGAGGGACGGCGGGACCACCACGAGCAGCTCCAGCGACGACGATGATGGAGCGGGCGCGAAGCCCCTGCTGGTCACCGCCAGGCCTGTGTTTGGGAAGAGAAAGGGGAGACGGAGAAGTGCGAGACGAAGGAAGTGGAAAACCTAAATACCCATGCAGGCTCTGTAGTTGGGTACAGCTTAACGTTTTGTGATGAATTTGTTGTGGGGAAATAATAAAATTCAGAGTATTTGCACAGTCTTTGTTGTGTGGCTTTTAAAAATATGGACGTTAAGCTGGACAATTACTTATTTTCTTTAATATGTTACCTTTTTCTAGTGTTTTCCACTTCATTGAATATTTCTTTGTATCTACAGGCCTCATCTGTTCATGTTTCTAGTATTATGCAATGTCAATGCTTTCTAACATTAAAAAGGGAAAAGGGGTTTCTATTGATCAGTACTTACTCGCTGTATGTTCCCTCTGACTTTCCAACCTAGATGAGAATAAAATATATTTCTGTTTATATCCATTTCATTTATGTAAGCATTACATATGTGCATACATGCTAAGTCGCCTCAGTCATGTCTGATTCTTTGCGACCCTGGACTGTAGCCCGCCAGGCTCTGCGGTCCATGGGATCCTCCAGGCAAGAATACTGGAGTGGGTTGCCATGCCCTCCTCCAGGGGATCTTCCCAACCCAGGGATCGAACCCGAGTCTCTTATGTCTCTTGCATCGGGAGGCGGGTTCTTTACCACTAGCACCACCTGGGAAACCCCTTATGTAAGTATTTTTATGTTTATATTTGCATTCATTTATGTTTACATTCCAGCGCAGCTTTTCAAATACTTGGACCAGCGCTGCTGCCTATTTTTGCTCACTCCTCCTTTCTTTCTAATTTGAAATACATCTTCTGCTTCAGCCTTCTCTAAAAGCTTTCTTCTAAAATCAACACTGACTTCCACATAGAAGAAAATCTTTTCTTTTTGTGTATGTGATTTTTTTTAATTTATTTTTTTTTATTAAAGGATAATTGTTTTACAGAATTTTGTTTTCTGTCAAACCTCAACATGAATGAGTCATATATATCCCCTCCCTTTTGAACCTCCCTCCCATCTCCCTCCCCACCCCACCCCTCTAGGTTGATACCGAGCCCCTGTTTGAGTTTCCTGAGCCATACAGCGAATTCCCGTTGGCTCTCTATTTTACATATGGTAATACAAGTTTCCATGGTACTCTTTCCATACATCTCACCCTCTCCTCCCCTCTCCCCATGTCCATAAGTCTGTTCTCTATGTCTGTTTCTCCACTGCTGCCCTGTAAATAAAGTCTTCAGTACCGTTTTTCTAGATTCCAAAATAAAATCTTTCCTTAATGCTGCTTTTCTCTGGAGATATTTTAAATAGAATAATTTTGGGGAAGGGTTGGGAAGAAGGACATTAACTTTTTCATGTTATTCTGTCATTTCTCCAAGCTACTTAAAATTGGGAGTTTTCTTCATATGTGTTTGTTGGTAAAATAGCAGTAGTTTTGATGAAATGTAATCTTGTTGCCTTGATAACTTATGTTTGCCCTGCACTGCAGTAGCTGGAGTGAACACCAAGCTGCTGTAAGCAAGACGTATTCCTATACGTGTGAACCACTGTTTCCCCGCTGGCTCAGATGGTAAAAGAACTTGCCTGCAATGCAGGAGACCCAGGTTCGATCCCTGGGTCGGGAAGATTCCCTGGAGAAGGGAATGGCAACCCACTTCAGTATTCTTGCCTGGAGAATCCCATGGACTGAGGAGCCTGCTGGGCTACAGTCCATGGGGTCTCAAAGAGTTGGACACAACTGAGTGACCAACACTTGCACTTTCAAGTAAGCTGAGACACCACCTCTTCCTCAGCAGTCAGGCCAGTCTGGGCTAGTGAGGCAGGTGAGCACCTTGAGGTCATGCTGGGTCCAGGCTCGGCCGTCCCCTGGGTAGTGTACTGCTTCAGCCGTCTGTACCCGTCACGGCTGCATCTGTAGTTCAACCTCCTCAAAGAGGAGAGAACCATGGTCCTCGGTAAGCAGGGTGTCTTATGCGAAAGGTGGCTAGAAAAATCCCTTCCCGTCCCCATCCTGTTGACTGAACTGACCATATTCTTCAGTGTATACTTGACATACTCAGAAATGTAATCGCTACCTGGGCTGTGTATCCAGAAGGAGGAAAACTGGGTATTCAGAACCATTAGTAGAAGACCTAAATATGCTTGCAAAAAGCCTGTTTACTCAGTCCATACGCTGATAAAGATGTGTGCATGCTCACATCTTGATTCTTTGTGATTCCATGGACTGTAACCCAGCAGGCTCCTCTGTCCATGGGATCCTCCTTGCAAGAATACTGGAGTGGGTTGCCATTTCCTTCTCTAGGGGATCTTCCCGACCCAGGGATTCAACCCACGTCTCCTGTGTCTCCTGCATTGGTGGTAGATTTTTTACCTCTGAGCCCCTGGGAAGCCCCATGCCAGTAAAGATAGAAGTCTGGAAAAAAAAAAAAAAAAAAACCCACCAAACACCATTATTATCTTATACCATAAGTACAGTGTTCACAGGACAGTTTGAGATTATATCCTTTATTCCCTCTAAACCCTGTGACCAAGGTAGATCCTTTATAAGGGAAGAAGCAAGTTTCAAAGTCTTATTATGACTGACTTTACCAAATTCACCCATCTAATAGGAAAACACTGTGACCTGAACCCAAATCTAATTCAATTCAGGGTGCTCTTTTGCCTATAAAATAGGTTACCTGTTTAAGATAAACAGCAGCATAGCAAATTTATCATTTTTCAAAGCAAGTTTGGATGCCTGTAACTTCTTTAGCATGGTGACCATCCTATACTTTTTCTGTAAATTTATATTTCAACTTATCAATCTTTTCTATAGCTTTCTCTGTGTTTGCTGTTAAACCTGTTATAGAGATTTTTATTTCATTCTATTTGATTCATTTTTATAGATTTCAGTTCTCTGGTATAATTCTTTTCATCTGTTTTTTGTAATATCTTAATCACAGTTACTTTAAAATCTGTGTCAAGCAATCCTGATATCTAGATTACCTGTGGGTTTGTTTCTGTTGTCTGTTTCTCGGTATGATCAGTAAACTTTTGAGTGAATGCTGGACATTATGTATAAAAAATTGTAGATGTTGTGAGTCCTCCTCTAGAGGGGATTCCAGAAGGTATTCTGGCAGGAAGCAGAGGGGAAGATCACCTTACTTTAACCAGGACTGAGTGGATTCAGGGCTGGTTTGCAGTCTTTGTCACACTCCATCTCCTAATTTTCCTCCATCCCTAAAAAGTAGTTTTCCACAGGTACCAATTGGGATATTTCTTCTTCTGAACTTTTGTTCTGTTTTTAGCCGCTTTATACTTGGAAAATTAGCATCTTGCCCTGAACATCTTCCTAAGCAAATAATCTTGAGTGAAGAGTCACTGTTGTGTTGCTGTAAGCTACTTAGAGCTGGAGGCAAAAGTCTCTCTGTACCCCCCCCCCCCAAAACAGTTCAATATAACCAAAATACTCATTGTCATCATGTCTGTTCAGATGATTTAGAGATTCTGCTAATTAAAAAGTAAACAAAAATAATTTGTGGGAAAAGACAGGTGGTTTTTATTCACTGAATAATTCTTCATTCTTGTTTTAAAAAGATAAAAAAAAAAGCTTGTCCTCTGCCCAGGATTAACTGCCTGTGAATAATTGTTTTCATCATTTAAGATTTTGCAGTTTCCAGAATGTTTTTTTGTCTACCATATTCATCTCATAGATATTATGTGCCTTTTCTATCTCTGTTTTATAGATGAGGAAGCCAAGAAACATGCTAAGTCAGTGCCTAAAATGACAGGCCAATTATTGACAGGAGTGATTAAAATCAGGCTCCCAGACCACGAGTCCTATCCTATCCACTATCGTGAGCTCCATCCATCATAATATGTGAAGTATTTCTTAGAGGCTGTACCCTCACTCCTGAGTTTAACTTTGCAATGTTGTAGGGTTTAGTTACCTGTTAATAACTTCTTCAGGCTATTTCCTGCGGTCGCGGGAGTTAATGTGTACTCTGAGTTGCAGCCCTACATGCACGTGAGCAGCAGTACAGGCTACATATTCCCTCCGCCTGCCTCTTCACTCCCAGTAGGAAAAAACTGCCGTAACCTAATCCCTGCGGTCAGGGCGCTGCAGCACACGCTCTCCCAAGCCTTCTGGGGCAGTTGTCTGAGGCTAAAAGTGGCCTTCGCACCCGGACAAGGTGACCCGGAAAGCACGCGGCCTCCGTGTCACAGGACGTCAGAGCTGCGGACGCTTAAATAACTGGGCACCCAAGTGAAAGATTATCACTTGGCCCGAATCGCCTTCACTCATTTGCAGGAGGAGTTGAAACCTTCCCGCTGGCCCTCGCTCTGGGCACGAGACGCCCGCATGGAATGTGCCTGCTTACTTTCCCGGCCCCTTATTTACGGGCGTCCCAGCCTCGCTGCCGAGTCTCAGAGGCTGTGCAGACGCAGCTGTCGGGCTTAGACCCGCTGCCAGCGCGTACAGTAGTCAACTGCAGAGCTTGGGGGCGCCCCTCGCGCGCCATCAGAGGGTCTCGGCAGCAAAGACAAAGTTGTGGATGATCCTTTTCAACCTTTTAGAAACTCAGCTAACTCGTGTACATAGGTATGTCCAGATTTCACGTTTAATAAATGTTGACCTGCAGGCGGAAAGGTGTTGTAAAGACCCCGTCCCTTTAATGGAAGAGAAACTAAATTGGGAACAAACGGGGTGACCCCTTTCGCTATTGTTTAGCCCTGTGACCTCAGGGGCATAATATAACCTTTTATTTTCCTCCTTTGTAAACTGTAAGGGAAACAATCTGTCTCCTAATTTACTGAGGCATATTTTAAAGAAAGATGTGGTGACTGTGACGTGTTTTAGGAGCCTGGTAGAAAAGGAGTGAATGTTAATTCATGGTAGTACAGTGATTGTTAAAGGATTTAAAAACTGATGCTTAAAATGTCAAATTGTTGTTTTCCAAAGTTGGAACTACAGCTTACTTAAGCTCATTCATTCACAAGATATGCTTTGTTTGAGAGGCATACAATACTTGAATTCCTTTCCTTTTAAATATCTTTGCTGAGATAGTATGGATTTTTTTTTTTTTAAAAGAAGCAGCTACTCAATAAAGAAAGCGTTTGGTGGTTGGGCTCTTTGACCTTGGGTACAGGCTGAGGACCACGGGTGGCAGCAACTTTGCACCAGTTGCTATGTAGGGAGGTTTGTTTTGGATTAATGCTATGGTGCTCACTACACTGAGTGGAACCGTTTCTCTCCCAATGTTTTAATCACCTCTTAAGTCTTAGGATTGCTCTCTGACTAGTTACTATGAAGATGAAGGCTTTCTTTGTGATAGCTGAGGTGGATCTGGGGAAGAATGTTTCTTCTTCCAAGAACCTCTAAAATTTCTGACCCTGAATTTTAGTTGGTACTAGATAGATTGTGTTTTAATGCTCTTTTTAAAAATCATGATTTC